GCGCCCTGGCCGGGCTGGGCCTCGGGCTCGGTGGTTTTTCCCAGCGCTGTCCCCGCCTCCATCGCTGCGACGGGAGCCTGTCATGACAGGTGGCTCGCTACCCGTGAGCGGGCTCCGCGATCGGTGGAGTAGGCGGGACCGGCATTGGTTCCGATGCAATGGGATGTGTGCACGTTGGGTGTGTGAGAGCTCTGGGCCAGAATGTGAGAATTCCCTTCTGTTTTAAAATTTACCTTTAACGGTAACTGACATGCAGTGTTGTCTCAGTGCCCGGTGTGCCGCTGCGTGAGGAGCTGTCCGCTCCGTTTCCGCCCTTGACTTTCGCTCTCACGTTTTGGGCTGCTCTCGTCTTGATCGGTAACGACCTCCATCCCGTCAAACCCCGGGCGCACGGGAAGGGCCGTCTGTGCGGCTCTGCAGCATCTGTTGGGTTGGCCACTCCCTCCTTTTTGAAACAGGTTTTGGTGTCTCCTATTCGTCCGATTTCAGTGCCCGCTTTTTCTTTCCCACCCAGCCTCTCAGTGTCTAGCACCGCGGGTGCGTCCTGGGCCATCTCCTCACTCGTTTCCCCTCCACATTCTCGTTTATTCCCAGGATCTCACGTGGCACCTGGGATGCTGGGTAGGTGGCTTGGGGAGGGGACTCGAGGGCTTGGCGTGGGCCTGTTGCAGTGTGACTGTGGGGTAAGCCACCCAAAAGGCTTGGGCACTGATGGGAGGTCATTCGGAGGAGACATATTAAACGTGCAAATCGCAGTCTTCCTGATGTTGGTGAATGGCACCACTCTTCAACCGAAGGTGAGAGCTAAGAGCTCATGTAGTGAAACCCCACCCTCCACATCCAGCCCCCCACGAAGCCTGTGTGATCCCACCAGCGTTTCACTTGAATTCCTCTCTTCTCCTTCTTCTGTGGTCCAGGCCACTATCGGGCTCAGATTCATGCATAACCTTCCTCCCATCCTTCCTGGGCTCCCTGCTGCTGCCTTTGGCCCCGTCCAATCCACGCCCCATCCAGCAGCAAGGGTGACTCTACAAATTTAGGGGAGGCTGGCGCACTGCCCTGCCTAACTCCCCTCCGTGGCTTTCCGTGGCTCTCAGGATAGAACCCAGCTTCCTCCTCTGAATCTTCGCCTTCGTCCTGCTTATATTCTTAGCCTTCACTTGGGCTCTTCACCTGCTTTTTTGAGGCAGTCAGCCTATAAGACCTGAGTTCATTCTTGGCTGAGGGTATTTATATTTTCTGTTCCTACCGGGGTGCATTCTTCACCCAGTATGGTTGTGTGTGTGTGTGTGTGTGTGTGTGTTTTATGACTAATTACTTAGCGTCCTTTATGTCTCAATTTAAATGTGAACCGACTATCCCATCTAAAATAGTTCTCTCGATCATAGTACTTTAGAATGTTTATCACACTCTGGCCAGTGTGCTAAGTGGTTAGAGAATTGACCCATGCACGGAAGGGCCTTGGGTTCGATTCCCAGTCAAGGGCACATACCTGGGTTGCAGGTTCGATCCCCAGCCCTGTTTGGGGAACGTTTGGGAGGCAACCAGTCGATGTGTCTCTCTCATATCAATGTTTCTCTCTCTCCCCTCCCCCTCCCTCCCTTCCAATCTTTCAAAAAAAAGAAAAAATCTCCCAGCCGGCGTGGCTCAGTGGTTGAGCATAAACCTATGAACCAGGAGGTCGCAGTTCAATTCCTGGTCATGGCACATGCCCAGGATGCAGGGCTCGATCCCCAGTGTGGGGTGTGCAGGAGGTGACTGACCACTGATTTTCATAATTGATGTTTCTATCTCTCTCCCTTTCCCTTCCTCTCTGAAATCAATAATAATTTAAAAAATCAATGGAAAAAGTATCCTCGGGTGAAGATTAACAAAAAATAAAGAAGTAGAATGCGTATCATGAGCTATTAACTTCTTTATGGCCTATTGCCGCCCTAAAATGTAAACTCTTCAAGGGCAGGGATCATGTTTATGCTCTTTTCCTTTTGCCTAACAGACTGTCCAGCACTTAGTAGGTGCAGAATAAACACTTGATATGTCAGTGGAGCTCTGCTTGGACACACACTCTGCTGAGAACATGCCGAGAACTGTGCTGGGTCGGGTGACTGGGTTCAGGTTTCAAGCAGGGTACTTGGAGACGCCTGATGAACCTACTTCCTGCTCGTGTCTGCTCCTCAAACCGTCTCTGCCCTGCCCCTCCCCCTGCTCCCACGTCCTGACGTCCTGACTCTAGTTTTGTGTTGTTTCTTTTTCCACACAGCTACCAGAGTGTTCTTTTTTCTTTTTAAACAGATTTTATTATGTAGCTATTTTCTTTCATCCACTTATTTATTCGTTGTCGTTGAGTGTCTGTTGCAGGGGTGGGGAGCGCTTTTTCTGCCAAGGGCCATTTGGATGTTGATAACACCATTCCCAGGCCATACAAAATCATCAACTTAAAAATTAGCCTGCTCTATTTGGTCACACATTTAATTAACTCACCCCTCATGCCTTGGCAGGGCCAGACCCAATGATAAGGCCCAACAGCTGGACTTTCCACACCCCTGGTCCATTGTATGCGAAGGACCTACTAAATCTTGAGGAAATAGTCCCACTGCACTCTGTGGGAGCTGGATCCTAGGTGTAAACACAGGAGTGTAATAAGCATCACACATTTGGTACTTGCTCAGCCGTCCCGTTTCGTGTGCTTTATACATATGAACTCATTTAACCCTCACGGAAGCCCTGCCCGTGCAGGTGCTGGTGTTAGTTCTCCAAAGAGGTTAGGTGACTGCACCACTGTGGGCGTCTGTACAGTCACGGAGGGTGAGCCGTTTGAAAGAAAGGTCGCGGGTTCTATGGCGCGTTTGACTGGGGACCTCACTTTAGGATGAGGGTTGCTTAGTCATAGCGAGCTGAAGAAAGACCCAGGTTCAGGGAACAGTGTTCAAGGTTCTGAGGTGGGAAGTAGGCCGTGTGAGTCCTGTGCAGCCAGCAGGGGAGGGCGGGCCACTGGAGAGGGAGGCGGGTCAGTGCGGAGGGCTCTGCTTAGGATCTTGGGGTTTTCCCTAAGAGTGGGTGCAGTGATGTCGTCTAACTGATGTCTTCAGACAAGCCCTGGCTGATGTGAGAGGAGACTGGAGGGAAGGGCTGGACGAACGGGGTCACCGTGGACAGGAACCACAGGCCAGGGTGGAGCTGGGAGCTGGGCATGGGGTGGAGGGGGAGGTGAGAACAGGGTGGAGCTAAGGCCCTGGGATGCTGGGTAGGTGGTTTGGGGAGGGGACCCTCCAGGGCTTGGCGTGGACCTGTTGCAGTGTGACTGTCGGGTAAGCCATCCAAAAGGCTTGGGCACTGATGGGAGGTCCCACCTGGGAGTCATTAGAAGGAGAATGGAGAGTGAGGTCCTGGGAGTGGGTGCCCAGCTGGGGCTAGACCAGGGGTGGGCAAACTTTTTGACTCGAGGGCCACAATGGGTTCTTAAACTGGACCGGAGGGCCGGAACAAAAGCATGGATGGAGTGTTTGTGTGAACTAATATAAATTCAAAGTAAACATCATTACATAAAAGGGTACGGTCTTTTTTTTTTTAGTTTTATTCATTTCAAACGGGACGGATCCGGC